AGTGGTAGAGTGCTAGCCTTGAGCTGAAGAGCTGAGGGACAGCGCCCAGGCCTAGAGGTCAAGCACCATGACCAAAAAAAAAAAAAAAAGGAATGTTTTGATGCCCTATGTCAGTTATCTGTGAAAAGGGCAAGCATAATTCTGCTTCAAAGTGACTCAAGACCACTGACTATTTCTGCTTTTACATGTGGTAAAGACTTAGACAGTGTTGTTTTTATTGAATAATATGCACTTCTTAACTTTTCTTTGGCAAGGCTAACTCCCATTGGATGACCATGGCAGGCCTTCTGCAGGACATGTGTACACTTGGTCTGCTTTCATCTCCATCTTCATCCTTGGATGATTTATGGAGCTCGATGGGCCAGGCATTGTGCAAAGCACAATGGTTATTATCTTAATTGTCACATGAGAAAAAGCTAACTGAACTCTTAACTTGAACATGAGACATGAAAGCTAAAAGAGGTGAATTGGGAAGAGATCAGATACTATTAGGAAGTACCAGGCTTTGGAGTCATGCAGTAGGGAGGAGCTCCTCCTCAGGTTTTCTGGGGGAGGGAAGAGGAGGGGCAGAAGATGATGTTCAGGAAGTCATTGTGTTGTATTAATTGGTTGATGCTGTGTAAAATGCATGCTAAACCTAGTAACTTTAAACAGCAAGCATTTGTTTTTCAGCTTTGTGGATTAGTTAGGTAATCGTTCTTTCCTGGGCCAGTTCCTCATGGGCTGGAAGTTTGGAGTGGTTGATATTGTGGTATGGAGTACCTGAACTTAGTTAAAAGATAACAGTCACAGGCTGGGAAGGTGGCTCAGTGGTAGAGTGCTTGCCTCACATGCATGAGGCCTGGGTTCGATTCCTCAGTACCACATAAGCCGAACAAGCTGGAAGTAGCTCTGTGGCTAAAGTGGTAGAGCGCTAGCCTTGAGCTGAGGAGCTGAGGGACAGCGCCCAGGCCCAGAGTTCAGGCCCCACGATAGACCCCTCCCCCCCAAAAAAAGAGAGAGATGACAGTCACCACCTTCCCTGGAGCACAGCATGCGTGTTTGGGATTTGGGAGATTTTTTTTGGGGGGGGGTCGGTCATGGGACTTGAACTTTGGGCTTGGACGCTCTCCCTCAGCTCTTCATCTCAAGGCAAGCACTCTACCGCTTGAGCCACAGCACCACTTCCAGTTTTCAAGTGGTTTATTGGAGATAAGAGTCTCACAGACTTTCCTGCCCGGGCTGGCTTTGAACCGTGATCCTCAGATCTCAGCCTCCTGAGTAGCTAGGATTACAGGCTTGAGCCACCGGCGCCCGGCTTTTGGGAGATTTTTGTATTTGGTTTGTGGGTTTGGTTTTTGAGATAATCTTGCTATGTAGTTAAAGCCAGACTGGAATTGTATTTGCTTTATTTATTTATTTATTTTTACTTTTTTGCCGGTCATGGGGCCTGAACTCTGGGTCTGGGCGCTGTCCCTTAGCTCTTCAGCTCAAGGCTAGCGCTCTACCACTGGAGCCACAGCGCCACTTCCAGCTTTTTCTGTTTATGGGGTGCTGAGGAATCGAACTCAGGGCCTCATGCTTGCAAGGCATGCACTCTACCGCTGAGCTACCTTCCCAGCCCTGGAATTGTATTTGTATGTATGTGCCCGTTCTGGGGCTATAACTCAGGGCCTGGGCACTCACTGTCCATGACCTTTTTTGCTCAAGCCTAGTACGCTTGACCCACAGCTCCACTTACAGCTTTTTCTGGTTAATTGGAGATAAGAATCTCATAGACTTTCCTGCCTGGGCTAACTTTGAACTTTTACTTTGCCAGTTGTGGGGCTTGAACTTGGCACCTAGATGCTGTCCCTGAGCTCTTTTTGCTCAAGGCTAGAGCTCTACCACTTAGAGCCACAACTCCACTCCTGGTTTTTTGGTAGTAATTGGAGATGAGAGTCTCATGGACTTTCCTGCCCAGGCTGGCTTCAAACCCCAATCTTGGGGTAGGATTACAGGCATGAGCCACCAGTGCCTGGCTCACAAACACTTTTCAATAGAGAGATAGACTTCACCTCTAAGTTAGAAGAACTATGATTCCTGTCACCTCCTTTCTATTTTACCTGTGTTCCTTTCCTTCTGTTGTATAACGCATTACTCCCAAACTTACTGACTTCCCATAACAATATTTACTGTTTCATAGTTTCAGTATGTCAGGAATGTGGGGGGTATCTCAGCTGGGTGCTTCAGACTTGGGGTCTCTCAGAAGTCTGAGTGGATCTGCAGGATCCAGTTCCAAGATGGCATACTCACATGACACAGGTTTGTGTAGGAAGTAAGAGTCTCACGGACTTTCCTGCCTGGGCTGCTTTGAACTGCAGTCCTCAGATCTCAGCCTCCTGAGTAGCTAGGATTACAGGCATGAGCCACCAGTGCCGGGCTACTTATTCTGGCTTTTTGAGGGTTGATTGGAGATAAGAGTTTCATGGGGGGCTGGGAAGGTGGCTCAGTGGTAGAGCGCTTGCCTTGCATGCTCAAGGCCCTGGGTTCGATTCCTCAGCACCACATAAGCAAAAAGAAAAAAGCCGGAAGTGGCGCTGTGGCTCAAGTGGTAGAGCGCTAGCCTTGAGCTGAAGAGCTGAGACAGCGCCCAGGCCCAGAGTTCAGGCCCCACAACCGGACCCAAAAAAAAAAAAGTTTCATGGGCTTTCCTGCCTAGGCTGGCTTCAAAACATGATCCTTAGGTCTCAGCCCCCTGAGTAGCTAGTACTACAGGCATAGCTAAAGGCACCTGGCCCTTTCCTTATTTTCCAAATGGGGCCATGAGATTCTGTACCCCACAGGATCCTGTGGACAGTGCATGCAGGTGCATGAGCAGATTGGGTTAGTCCTCCCCAACTGTGTGTTGCTCCATATCCCAGAATCTAAATAAAGGTCCCATCTCAGCAGATGTTGTATTGAAGGGACAAAGGACTGACTTACAAACTCTAGATGCAGTCATCCATCAGGATGTCACATTCCATAATTAACTTCAAAGCAATTTCCTGAGATCCAGTAAAGGATTGTGAAAAATAAGTCCATATCACAGGTGAAGAGTACCCTCCTTAGGAGGAGGGCTAAGAAAACTGTCTCTGTGATACAGGTTTGGTTTGGTGTGAGGTCCAGTGCCTTCTATGGATGCAGGGCTAAAGCCCAGCACATGCTGAGATTTCTGCGGTGTACTTGGGGCCTTCCTAATGCTGACTGGTCTGTCTGCCCCCATCCCTCACTGGGGCTTGAACTTTTTTTTTTCCAGTCCTGGGGCTTGAACTCAGGGCCTGGGCAGTTCCTGAGCTTCTTTTGCTCCAAGCTAACACTACCACTTTGAGCCACAGTGCCACTTCTGGCTTTTTCTGTTTATGTGGTACTGAGGAATCAAACTCGGGGCTTCATATATGCTAGGCAAGCACTGTACCACTAGACCACACCCCCAGCCTGGAGCCCCTGAACTCTTTTAAGACTTGAACTTGGTAGGCAGGTACTGGACCACTTGAGTCACTCTACTCTTTTTGTATTATTTTCATAACAGTATCTTGCTTTATGCCTAGGCCACCTGGACTGCAATCTGCTTCACAACACTGACAGATGCAGGTCTCTATACCCAGCTATATTCATTCCCCTTAGCTGGGATGGCAGAGGCAACACTGGTTGAGATGGAGTCTTTCAAACTTCTTTTGCCCTGTCTGACTTTGAACTTCCCCAGTCTTGGCCTCCCAAGAGGTTAAAATTATAGGTGTGTTCATGTTCATGATCTTGCTACAGTGCTAACAGAAGACTGTGGGGACACCTGGGCCCTTCATGCCCCCTGGGACAGACTGCAAGTTGAAAGAGCTCAGGGTTTCAAATCCTTCTTGCCACGTGAACCATGCAGCATGGACATTAGTACACCTTTGGGTTGTAGTTTCTAACTGTACGTTGCACTTAGCTCAGCCCCAGGGACTGTGTGGATCTCAACTAGTACTCCCTACACCTGAGTTTCCCCCCTCCTTTTGCACTCTGGTTCACCATCCCTAAAACTCCACTCCCCTAACCTTCTAACTGTATCATCAACAGAAACCCAGCTTCCCCTAAGGCCAGGCCCCAAGACTAAGCACACCGCCTCAGCCCAGGAAACAAAATCCTGTGAGACCTCCATTCCTTGACCAAACATGCAAGAAAGACTCCAATAGGTAGAGTTTGTTCTTTATTTAGACATGGGATTTTCCTTTTTGTATAACTTATCTAATTAAAATATTCATCTTCATCATTACCACAAAAAAAGTAACATAGAAAATTGTATTTACATTTTGGGACCAAAATACAAATGAAGAGCAGGATGAGCCCTTGCTCCTGCCTCTCCCGCCTCCAGGAAAGCGCCTGGAGAACCTGAATGAAGGGTCACAAAAGGCTAATCTGTAATTTGGTGGTTTGTATGTAATGTAGTACAAAATAATTGTACATTTTCAGAGACTAAAATTTCAACATTGTTGTATGTTTGCTTGGCAGTCATGTCAATGAGCTAGGTGGGCAGATCATGAGGAAAGTCAGTATTTCCTCTTCCCCCCCCCCCAAACAGTCCCCAACTCTATCCCAAGAGAGCTAGCCTGTCAGCCCCTGCTGACAATAATCCCCCTTTCACTGTAAAAAACAAAAACAAAAAGAGTCCTGGACCGTGAGAGAAAGACCCAGGAAGATCTGGCTCTGCGAACAGGGCTTACAGGAAATCTTTAGGTGCCCAAACTGGATTCAGATGTTGTATACACAAACGTGTCCTTTCTTCACTTTCCACCAAAAGACTTCTACTAAAGGAAATTAAATCACACATGAGTGAATCTGAACTAGGAACAACTGGAAACACAGCGACAAGACAGATTGAAGGTGGCACTTAGAGGAAACTGTTGCAGGCAAGAGGTACCTGGCTCTGATCTAAAATGTTCATCTGGTTTCAGGGAAGAAAGGTCTCTAATATTGGATTTGGTAGGTAGATCAGGCTTAGAGATAGAAGAGCAATGGTAAACAAGTGATCAAGAGAAATAGTTCTTTACTAATTCAAAAATACAGCAAATTAAAACACTGTAATACTTGTGTCCCATTGCAACAGGCACCCTAGCCAGCAATGCACACTGAGCACTGAGGAGCCCTGGTTATGCAGGTTTCCTGTGTTGCCTAAGTGAGGTCTCCAGGATGGTTGGAAGGGTGACTTTGAGAACTGATGTGATGACCAGACTTAGCAGGCTGGCTGGCCGTCCCACCAGCCAGCTCTCCCCTCTGCTTTGCAGATTCCATGGGGTGTAAATCTCAAATTCATAGCATCTATTTCTACGTGGGTTCCAACCTGGAAGCCAGGAAGGAGCTGGTGCTGCCCTCCTCATTTTGATCCTGCTCCTGACAGCTAGGAGGTGAGAGCCTTTATCCAGCTGGATGGATGCACCCTGTGGTTCCCCCTCCTCCAGACACAGGCCCTTCACACCCTGGCTGGCACACTTGGAAGGCAGAGGGTAGAGTTCTCTACCAGACATAGCATAGCGCTGTGCTCTTCTAACTATATCACCTTTTCTTTCAAAGAAAAGGCAGGAACAAAAAAAATTTTCAACAGAGCGTTCCAACTCTCACGACTTTTTACCATTCACAGGGAGCAAGAGATTAAAGTGCTCGCTTTTAAAACTCCAAAGTCAACACAAAGCTACAAAAGCCTGCCATGTCTGTTTTCCCCCTCCCCATGCTGGTGGGCAGAAGGAAAGATAAGGAAGGGGGGGGACAAAAACACCTAAAATTTGAACTAGAAACTACAAGTTATAAAATTGCTGAGGTTCTGTGCAAATTCACTTCTCAAAGTTCTGTGTCCTCTTACTGAGTATTAAAAAAGAAGGGGGTGGGTGACTTGCAAAGAGGACTGGGAAAGGACACGGCGTTTACAAACAGCCTCCCTAAATAAATACTATTGAACGGGTATGAAAGAGGTGCACCTGCATGGGGACACGGAGTGTGGGGGCGGGGCTCCATGCCTGTCTCCCATCCAGGACAGTCAGAGCCTGTCTGGCACACACTCCTGCCCCACGTGCAATAACACAGGCCAAGGCTGCTCCGCCCTCTGCCAGACCACAGGCCTCTCCAGAGCTGACCTGGGCAGGGATGGCTTTTGCTAGGCTTTTGTCTAAAGGACCTGGACAATACAAGGCTATGTGTGGTAGAGAACAACAAAACAAAAAAAAAAATCAGAAAAACCTGGGGTAATATAAATACAATCTGGGGCAATATTTATTCATTAAAACTATGTCTTATAGTTTACAAAGATGCTAATCAGCAACAAAAGTATAAGTGACCTTAAAACCCTCAGTGAGACTGAGGCTTCACATCGCGCTCGGAAGTCTGCCGTGTGCTCCAGGCAGGGCGGGGGCTGTGGTGCTCGGGGCAACCCCTGTCATCGTGCAGCACTGACAGAACAAAAGGTTCCACATAGCAAAAGATGGATGCCCGGCTCCTTTGCAAGTCCACTTTCCCAGCCACCCATGTCCCTGTATTTCTGCCCCCTCAAATTCCATCTCCAAGGCAAGTCCTCAGTTTATCGTCGGGAGAATCTGTTCTTGAAAGCTTTAATTGTCTTGGCCATCATCGGTGCAATTTCTGTGGAGAGAAATGAGGCAGTTGTTTCAGACTGGTGGCAGCTCACACACACCACAATGGGTTGCAGTCAAAGCCGAGCGAAATCTCGCTGATCTTGGCTGTGTATCACCTCATGAGGGATACACGCAATAATCTGCTGACACTGTAACTGTCTGCTGACACTGTAAGAAAGCAATAGACACTTGCAGACGCACGCCCTGCCCAGGGCATAGCCTCACCATCCCTAACCTAACCACCCGATTCCTGCTTCACAGCTTAGGAAGACGAGTGTGCCCATGGGTGTGCACTAAGGAGCAGGCAGGGAAGCCGATCCTTGCCAATGCCAAGGCCACTTGCCTGGTGTAACTGCATCAGAAACATGGAAGCAGGAAACATTACCACCACCCACATCTTTCCATCGCTCAGGTGAGCTATACAAACCACAGCTAAGCAGGGCAGCCTGCCCTTGGCTGGTTAATATGGTCATGGCTGAGGCTTATACCTGGATTTCCTGCCCACCATGGGCCCGGTGGTGACCATGCAGCAATTCTTCCCATGCTAGATCCTTGATGACAGCCTCAAATTTTGTGTTTGGTACCAAACAAATATGAAAATTATTAGGAAACTGAGATGATAAAGGAGTAAAATATTCAGCTTGAGCTGGGCACTGATGACTCACACATGCAATCCTAGCTACGTAGGAGGCTAAGATCTGAGGGTTGTGGTTTGAAGCTGGCCTGGGCAGAAAAGTCTGTGAGACTTTTTTTTTTTCTTTTTTTGCCGGTTGTGGGGCTTGAACACTGGGCCTGAGCGCTGTCCCCCAGCTCTTCAGCACTCTACCACTTGAGCCACAGTGCCACTTCCGGCTTTTTCTGCTTATGTGGTGCTGAGGAATCAAACCCAGGGCCTCATGCATGCAAGGCAAGCACTCTACCACTGAGCCACCTTCCC